ATTGTATTTGTTGTTGCTGCTGCAGCGGAAGTTTAGTACTAATTATTTTTGATTAAATACTCCAAATCTCCACCCTCCATAATTTGCACTTGCTTCAGTTGCTTGCTACTTCTAACGGCGGTGAGAGTGGTGCAGTGACGCTATCTATCTTCTATCGATTAGATTTATGATTCGAAAATTATGTGGATACTATCCGACTGAACAAAACGTGCATTTACCTAACAGGTTCGTTTTCCACTGACCTTTTTTCGAGCTATTTTCCAAAATCCTATGGAGAAATCCCATTGCTTTTTTGTCGAGGGAAACCGAGCGGAGCTTACTTCCGCTTTTTGGGACGCGTCACTGCACCACTAAGTTGATGCGATTTGATTGGATTGTGAGGCAAGGGAAGCCAGCCGCCTCTGGCTTCCCTTGGCATGGCCCTGACCAATCACAGGTTGGCAGGGGCATGACGTGAGCCTCATCTGATTGGTCAATCCCTCCATTTCTTTTCACCAAGGGAAGCAAATTTCAGCTAGCCTCCTCTCGCAACAGAGAGTGCAATCTACTGTTTCACCATAACTTCTAGAGGGGCGCTGTTTCACTCTTTGTAAAATACTCAATGAGAATGGGGGAGAGACGGGCCGGCAGCAACACACAACAAATAATTTTCGAAACTAAACAAAGTGTTTTTATTTATTTATTAAAATTATAACTACAATCCAAAAAACAGGGGAAGCCTGGCTTCCCTTGGCCTCCAGGAGAAAACGCCACTGCACTTGTTTCTGATCTTTTATAGACCATCCATTCATCTGCAGATAGATAAACTCCCAGTATGTTTCTCACCTGTCGCCGATGGAGTCCACTTTCTCCTGGATGCGCTCGCCGTTGATGTTGCCGTCGGCAACCAGGCGGCGCCCGGTGTCGAGCACGCCGCTGATCTTCTCCTCGTTGGCGTCCAGCGTGGTCATGAAGTCCTCCTGCTTCTTGATGGCCGCCTCGGCGCCCTCCAGCGTGGTGGGCATCTCCGTGTGGGCCAGCACGTACTCCTGAGACAGAGAACACTTTATTCATAATGTGCACAACGATTACAGAGAAGCACTAGTTGTTGTTATGTTTTCCAACATAATCATATAAATATTAAACTGAATACTACATATTATGAACTGCCTAAACATGGTGCTGTAATGACCATGTTCTACCACCTGGTGGCAGCGTCTAACTGATGGAGGGAAAGATGAGTAACATGAAATCATCTGAATGTATCTACTGTGCCCTACAGCCCTTCACAGCAGAAGAAAAAGGGTCATCTTGTCTTTAAATGATTTCAAATGTTTGTTTTGATACTTGCAAGGGAAACACTCTAATTATGTTGACTTCTTTTGTGTTTGGCCATCCTGTTCAATATCACCTTCAACTTAAGTCATTCTGCACCTGCATGATATCTTGATTAAGAAGATGTTAGTGTCAAATAAAGGAACAATGTTACTCTAGGGTTGTTAATGTACTTTCACATGCACAGGGGACACATGATGTCATTCTGCAGTCTGTGGCTCAGACTGAAGTAAACTCTTCAGGTGTGATGGATCATCAGATGTGAGCTTTAGGTGTACCTGGTTGTTGAGGAAGGCCTCGGCCTGCTTGGTGTCCCTGAGGAACAGCTGGTAGGCGTGGCTCTGGGACAGCAGGTTCTGCCGGTTCTCCCACATCTTGTGCAGCTCGTTCCAGCCGGTGTCGAGCGCCTGCAGCCTCTGCCGCAGGAACATGTGCTGCGCGTCCGTCTGGCCCTGCGTCACCATCTCGCCCATGTCCCGCATCTTCTGGTAGTCCTCCTCGTAGTTGCGGATCTCGTTCTTGATGTTCTCGTGCTGAGTCAGCAGCTTCTCGGCCTCGGTCAGCGTGTTGGGCATGTCCTCGGAGGCGATGGCCGTCTGCGTGCGGGACAGCCAGGACTGGAAGTCGTCCACGTCGCGCAGGAACTGCTGCAGCTTGCTGGCCTCGCCCAGGGACTCCTCGCGGTTCTTCATGGTGTCCTGGGATCAGGAAGCGAAGGAGAGGGGTTTGTTTGATCGTGCATAGCAACACAATATGTCTATTTGACAAATAGTCTCCAGACTTTCAGTTCGGTTTTATTTTCCATTTTGAGACGTTTCTATTTTGTGTTTCTTTATGTTCTAATTTTTTATTTCCACATGTTGTGCAATACCTTGTTGTAACATCAATCATTTGACACGCTTTGTAATACCGATAGGAGAAGAGAAACTCATTGCCGTGGTGTCAGTGTGAGAGGCCGTACCTTCATCTCGCCCCAGACGCTGGTGATGCCGTCCAGGCGGCCCTTGATGGCCTCAGACTGCTCCGGGTGTTCGGAGGCCAGTCGCTCCGCCTCCTTCCCCAGGTCCCCCAGTTTGTCCTCGATGGCGGCGAGGTCCCTCTCCATCCCCGTCAGCTTCCTCTGCAGCGCCATGACGCCCGCCAGGTCGTTCCCCAGCTCCTGGGTCGACTCGATCAACTGCAGCAGGACGGGGAGGGGGGTTATTTATCAGTTTAACTGCGGTTAATAAGTCCCTGTTGGGCATCAACCAGTGAGCCTTAAACATATTGTGTAGTGTGTGTAACATAAAATAGTTAATTTAATGCGGTTTGTTACGGTCTTACTTCTATGAAAAGGATAATTATGTTCTTTGTTTAGGAAGCACAGTTCTATAACAATAATATCACTAAACTCCAGCTTGCACTGACACAACACATATATATTTTTCTACACATTCAAACATACTTATTTTTATTTAAACCAATATATTCCTGCACTTTAACTTGATCTGCATATTGAAGTATGAATGCCTGTTATTTGTATGTTGTCTTCTCCTGAATGCTGTACGTGTCTTGTTTTTTATTTTTTTATTTTTGATGGCACCTCCTCATCTCATTGTACCTGTATAATGACGATAAAGGATTCTATTCTATTCTCATAATGCTAAAGTATAACAGTGTATTTTCTATAAAATGACCTGTGTGTTATCTCCCAGCTGCAGTTCAGGTAGAATCTGTGCAGTCTGTGGTGTGTAAAGTGTTTGTGTGCTGATGGTACCTTGGTCTTCTCCTTGATCCAGGACTTGGTCTCGTTGCACTCCAGGTGATAGTTCTGGACGCCCAGAGCCGAGCTCAGGCTGTCCTTCTTCAGATCCACCAGGTCCCTGAACGCGCTCCACCTGCAGGGACAGAGACACCGTCAGAAATATGAGCTTAAACTGTTAAGTGTTTGTGGGAAATAGAAAACGACGATGGTCTCCAGTGTTGAAGTTTTGGTAAATTGAGACACCGTCAGAAATATGAACTTAAACTGAAGCTGGATCAGTTAACACGTTATTTAGTTTACTTTGACCCCAAACCCATCACAGTCCCCCTGCTTCCACTCCTACTGCTATTTATTTAATTGTTTTACTTAATTATTTGCCCCTTTTATTTGTGTGTTCAACATGTAAAGCACCCTTGGGTCTCTTGAAAGGCGCTATACAACATGAATCTATTATTACTACAAGATAGCAGCCCTTGCATTACAGTTCATCTATCAGTATAACCCCATGAACATTACCGAACAATCCCAGTTACATGGACCATCAGTGCTTAATAAACGTTTGATTCAAGTTTATTATTACATTTCGACGCAGCCCTTTTAAATTCAACATTATCTACTGGTAAAATCTGATTTAATGATTTGATCTTCTCAGTGTATGCCCTGGTTTAATCCCGGTTTAGTTACCTGGTGTTGAGTTTGTCCTGCTTGGCTTTGATCTCCCTCTCACTGGGGTGTACGCTGTGGATCAGTTGCCGGGCAACCTGGTTCACCACGGCAACTCGAGACGCCTGGTTGTTCATCTCCGGCTCCAAACTCTCAAACCTGCAGAGAAACAAACGCATTTAAATTATTATAATTCATTTATCTTATAAAAACAGAAAGCTGGTGGTCGTGATCTTTCCCAGACGTGTTATTTATGCTAAATAAATTACCTAAATACATCTGTGCCCTTCTAACTTTTATCAGAATCATTATTAAAGATTATTCCTGGTGCACACATGTATTATTATGTATTTATTTCAACAAGGACCATGCATACAAATACATTAATCTGAGAGAAGAGATGAATTATGCCAGATTTGAGCTAATAGCTCATTTCCATCTGCAGTCCTTAGGCAGGCACATAACAATCAACAAACACTAAACACATTGCATAATCTCCATCACACAAACAATTACAAAACATGATTTGAGTACAGGTCAATAAAATAATACATAGTACAGTTAAAATGTAATATGATGTGCCCCCCTCACCGGTGCTGCACCACCTCCAGGTCCTCCAGCTTCTCGGGGATGTCCATGCTGTTGAGCCACTGCTCCTTCTCGTCGATCCACACCTCGCAGGCGCTGGCCTCGCTCAGCATCCGGTAGAGAGCGAGCGCGTCCTGCAGCGCCTGCTTCCTGAGCCGCGTCAGTTCCACCACCTCCTTGTAGCGCTCCTCGATGCCCGCCAGACGGCTCTGCACCTAAACCATACGATATCACTTTGATGGTCAGATCAATCATCAGCATCACAGCAGCTCCATGTGTAACATCAACATGGACAAATATCAGGTACATCAAATATCAGTAAATAAAAGATGAAGAATTCAAGTTTGTTTTCATCAGCCTGAAACCAGCACCAGCTCCCGGTGGAAAATATGATTTTTTAGAATTGGATTTCACACTTTTGATCTTCTGTTTCAGTGTGTCCCAGTGTTTTTCAAAGTGGGGGCCGCCACGGGGCGCCACGCAAAGTTTGAGGGAAAGGGGAATTTTTTTTTTTTTTAAAGTTACATTTTTTTAATTTATTTTTTTATGTTATTAATAACTGCATACCTATCAATCTATGTGTCCTTTGATGCCAATCTTTTAATATTTTGTATTTATTAATATTTCGTTTTTTTGTTTTTAAATCACACGACCGCCCTTCCAGCCAATCAGAATCGAGCTGCCGCTACTGAGAGTGAAACTGACTCTGCTCAGCTTTTGGAGCAAGTGAGAGCTAGTGAATATTTCGCTCTGCAGCTGGATGAGAGCACGGATGTAGCAAATATTGTTGTTTATATATATGAATAT